AGTAGAATAGTATGAAGTATGAAATAGGGATTTTCAAACTTTTTCCAGGCCTTCTTGTTGTTTTAAAAAAAGATCCTGGGATTGATTAAGTGGCAAAACTTTAGTGTCCCAGAAAACTGCCCCTCCCGTTATGGAACCCCGTCAAGAATTATTAGCCAACAGTTCGATTCTGACCAGCTTCAAGGTGGATTCAGCCTTTCATCCTTCCGAGGTGGGTTAAATGATGAGACCCAGATTGTTGGGGGGGCAAGAGGCTGACTCTGTAAACCGCTTAGAGAGGGCTGGAAAGCATTGGGAAGTGATATATAACTCTAAGTGTTGTTATTGCTATTTCTTTCTCTCTCTCTCTCTCTCTCTCTCCCTTTCCTTTCCTTTCCTTCCTTTCTCCTTCCTGCCTTCATTCATTTATTCATTCATTCCACCCTTCCTTCCTGCCTTCATTCATTTATTCATTCATTCCACCCTTCCTTCCTGCCTTCATTTATTCATTCATTCCACCCTTCCTTCCTGCCTTCATTTATTCATTCATTCATTCCACCCTTTCTTCCTGCCTTCATTCATTTATTCATTCATTCCACCCTTCCTTCCTTCCTTCCTTCCTTCCTTCCTTCCTTCCTTCCTTCCTTCCTTCCACCCTTCCTTCCTTCCTTCCTTCCTTCCTTCCTTGGTGCATAGTATTGCGGGCTAACTCTGCCAGCAGATCAACAGTTCGATGCTGACCAGCTCAAGGTGGACTCAGCCTTTCCTCCTTCCGAGGTAGGTAAAATGAAGACTCAGATGGTTGGGGGCAATGTGCTGACTTTGTAGACCGCTTAGAGAGGGGCTGTAAAGCACTGTAAAGCGGTCTATAACTCTAAGGGCTATTGCTATGGTTTACAGGTAAGTCCTTGACCGATGCAGATGGCTGGAGAGTTCTGGGAGCTGGAGTCCACACCTCTTAAGGTCGCCAAGGTGCAGAAACATTGCTTTGTGGCGGTGATTCAGACAGCAGTTGGCATTCTCAGGGGACGCTGCTCAACACCCCCATCGAGGCGCAGCTGCTGCTATCAGCAATCACAACTTAATTCTTGCCAGCGATGTCTGTTCTGGAGACCCCCAGCGCCACAAGAGTGTTGAGGAGAGCAGCTTGGAGCCTTCAGTCGGCGGTTAATGAAATGATTTAATTATCGCAGCTATAAAAAGAAGAAAATCAGGCTGGCACTTGAAACACCTTCCTCTCTTGCCAGGGAGCCAAGGAAGCGAGGCTGGCAAAACACACAAAAAAGGAAGGAAAATAACCAAGGAAGCCTTCAGAACCTGGCTTCGTTCTCTTAAGCCCTGCCGATGAGCAAATATAACAGCATTAAAAAGTCCCTGGCCGCTCATCCCGATGCAATACAACAACACAACCAACCCAAACCCTACCAAGAATTACAACTGCCACACATCAAGAATATCTCAGAAGAAACCAAAAATGGTTGCAGAAGTCGGTGGAGCTGGCTGAAATGGCAAAACTGACTAGGACAGAACAGAGTTGGAAGGTAACAGATAATCAGAGTTGGAAGGGACCTTGTAGGTCATCTAGTCCAACCCCCCCACCCCACCCAAGTGGGAGACCCTACACCATTTCTGACAAATGGCAGTCCAATCTCTTCTTGAAAGTCTCAAGTGAAGGGACCTTGGAGGTCTTCTAGTCCAACCCCCTGCCTAGGCAGGAAACCCTACACCACTTCAGACACATGGTTATCCAATCGCTTCTTAAAAACTTCCAGCGTTGGAGCATTTACAACTTCTGGAGGCAAGCAGTTCCACTGGTTAATTGTTCAGGAAATTTCTCCTTAGTTCTAAGTTATCCTCTCTATCCTTTGATTAAAGAAGTACTTTTGTTTCCACTTCTGAGTTTCATGCTTGATGTGGAAAAGAATGTAATTTCGACTTTGGGTTTTTATAGATGAGATGGATAGATTTTTTTAATAGAAATGACTCGTTCATATTACTACGGAAAAACAAATAACTGTGATTTGATGCTAAAGCCTTATTCTACCGCAAGAGAGAGAGTTGGAAGTCACTCCATCTTTTTCCTTTCTTTTTCCTTACCTTTCCTCTCTTCTCTTCCACCTTTCCCTTTCCTCCTCGTTGTTCCCTTCTTTACTTTTGCATTTTGTATAATACTTAATAACCTAAGAAAAAAAAAACGTTTGAATTGAAGAATGTCTCAGAAACCACCAGCCACATGGGATCAGTGTAGCATACAAGCCAACTCAAGCCCTTCCAAACATCCCAAGCAAAACATAAAAATCCAGCAACCCCAGAAGGAGGAAAAAAAAAAAGGAATCTTCTACTACAACATACAATGTAAGGACTACAACAACCATCGTGTAGGACAAAGAGGCAGAAGGCTGGCAGAACCACAAAGCACTCAAAACTGCATTTATTTTCCCAGGCTTTCGAAGTGGCTGGCTGGTGAGATCTTGTTCTCTTTGTACCACGTTTCTTTTATTGGACCATTCATCTTTTTGTTCCTTTTCTTTTAGTGTTCTCATTTTTTTTTCTTTCTTTCCAGAAAGCCGAGTGCTCAAGAGTTGTTTGGCAGTTTGGGTGCTTTTTTAAATCGATGCCAGTAAATAAATGAAGACAAAGCACTCTATTATGGATGCTAGAATTGGTTCTGCGAAGCTAGTGAACAAAAGCAACGTGCATTTCTCTCTCTCTCTCTCTCTCTTTTTGAGAGGCCCCTGGGAAACATCCAGGTTCCCAGATGGGAAATTTGGATGACCTCTGGATGACTCAAGAAAATTGCTAGGAAGGGGTGGACTGCCTGCAATACGCAATTGTGGTTTCTTCTTCGGGTTTAATTTTGGAGGGAAACCAGCAACAAAAGATGAACCCCGAAACTGGCTTGGTTGTTTTCCCCCCTGCCCCAGCTGTAATTGCAAATTATAATTTAAGTCTCCTTTGTTGGATAAATTCTAGCATTTGTAAAGGAATTCCTCCTTTTATTTACTTGCATTGATTTAAAAAGCACGCAACTGCCAAATGAATCTGAACACACACGCACACACACACTTAATTAATTAATTAAAGGAACAGAATGATTGCACCCCAGAAAAAGAAAGACACGATCCAAACTTAGTAAGAGCCTCCATCTTCATTTATTGCAATCAGTTTTTGGTCACCACATTACAAAAAAAAAGTTTGAGATTTTGGAAAAAAGTGCAAGGAAAAGCAACTAAGATGCAGGATTTGGTTATGGCCAGTCTAGAGAAAAGAAGGATTTGGGGTGTGTGTGTGGAAGAATAGCAGTATTCCAGTATTTGAGGGGCTGCCACAAAGAAGAGGGGGTCAAATTATTTTGCAAAGCACCAGACAAAAAAACAATGGATGGAAACTAATCAAGGAGAGAAGAGACTGGACAGCCACTTGTCTGAAATGGTATAGGGTCCTCCTGCTTGAGCAGGGGGTTGGACTTGATGTCCTCCAAGGTCCCTTACAGCTCTATTCTGAATTGAAAATGGATTGCCAGAAACCTTTGAGATAGCAGCTTCTGAAAAAAAAATCACTTGATCGTCTCGAGCTGAGAATAACATTTTCTTTTCCGGCTTTTTATTTGGGCACAAAAAGCTCATCAAGAGGAAGAAAACGTTGACTGCGGCCAAAAAAAACCCCCCCCAAATCAGATAAAAAAAGAAAAGAAAAATATGTTCTTTGTTGCCAAAGGAAAAGATCACATTAGTCTTTGTGCAAAACTGAATCAAAATAGGAATGAGATTTTTTTTTTTTTAAAGTAGGCTGCAAAAAAATCCAGTTATCCATAATGAGACGGTTAAACCAAGAAGATTCGGGGACGTCTGTAAGGAAAGGGTTAAAAAACATGGCAGCCACAACCGGCACATAGATGCCTGCCCATCCCCTGAGCGGCCCAGTTTCAAACAGGACACAGCCTGTTCGCGGGCTGCAGCCCAGGCGTCGGGGACTCCTGGCTTACCGGATTCCTCCCGGTGTTTGGCTAACGGAAACTAACCTAGTTATAGCTTCATCTACACCAGAGTGACGAACTTGGTTTCATTAAGGGCCGCAACAGGCTGGTGTTTGACCTCGGGGGGCTGAGTGGGTGTGCCCAGGGCAGGCATGGCCGGCTCAACATCCTGCAGCCCTCTGAACTCAGTCTTCGCTGGCAAAGGGCTGCAGGAGGCCATCACAGCCAAAAACATCTGGCCCACCGGCGGCTGACGGAGCTGGCAGCAGAGTCGGACAATGAGGATGTTTGGGGAGGAACCTGGGCCAGTCCTGGAGGGTGAGGAAGGCTCGGACGAGGGCTCTGCATCAGAGGCAGAGATGGGGCCAGGGCAGGCTGACAGTCATCAGCTGCCTTTGGGCTCAGACAGCAGTGAGGCGGGGCAGCTTCTGGAACCAGCAAGCTGCCAAAAGGAAGGCACAATTAGGAACTCAGGGTCGACGTGGGAGTAAAGCCACAGGTGGTTGGTGAATGGCCCCTCCCATCGGGATTAAGAGTGGAGCAAAAGGGGAGGGGGCTTCTGCAGGAAACAATTAGTTCGTTCCAGCTTTGTGAAGATCTGTCTGTTTAACCTAGAAACTTTGTGCCTAGCCCTTCCCTGTCAGCACTGTGCGTGGAAGTACTTACCGGGCAGCTTCTCCAAGATAGTTAAGGTCTGAGCTAATAATTACATCTTTGCAAGACTGTTTGCCAGGCCGTTGGCTGAACGTGAATGCAATACGTTCACATTCATTGAATAAAAGAGGTTTTGCCGGGACTCAAAGAGTTGGCTTTGTGCTTTTGGGGGAAACCTAGCACAGAACAAAACAGAGCTTGAGAGAGCCACACAACTGTTCTGAGCTCCGTTTTCACTGGAAGACGCACCGTGTCTCACGGTTTCCAGGGCAGCACCGCAGGCCGTATCTATGGGCTGGATCCGGCCCGCAGGCCTCAAGTTTGACACCCCGTGTGATCTGCACCCAAGTGGCCTTTCACGCCCAGTAACAAAACAGAAACAGTTTTCCTTCTCTGGAGGTGGTCATCATTGATTTTATTTATTGATGTAGGTGGGAGGATAGCGAGACCAGCATGAGGAAATGCCGAAGGATGCTGGGAAACGTTTCCCAGCTGCAGCTGCAGCACGGCGCTCGCACAGCCTGTGTTTTCAACACGCAAAGCGCCTCAAGGACACAAGGGCGGCCTCAGCAGAGGAACACAGCAGGCTTTGACACACACACACATGCGCACACGCACACACACACGCACGCGCACACAAAAATAGGGAGCCGGATCTCCTTCACCCCACCCCTGCTGCTCCGTTTTCCGACTTCCGCAGGGGACTCTCGCAAAAGCTTGCCCACATGCCAGCCGTCTGATCCCCCCAAAATATCGGTCTTCCAAACAGGGTGGAGTGGGGTGGGGGTGGGGAATAGGGATGGGTGGTGGGTTTTTGGGGGGGAGGGGTGGAATTTTGTGTTTTTTTGTTTTGTTTGCCACAACTTGGTCCCCGTTGAGTTTCCGTCGCCGCTTGCTCTGGAGGAAGGACGACCGGGCAGCCTCAGTTTTTCAGGATGGTTTCGTAAGCTTGGAAAACGTGCTGGGTGACTTCGGGAGCACGGCACTTCAAGGAGAGCTGCGAGGGAAGAAGGAGGGGGTGAGGAGTGGCGGATGGGAGTCCTCGGAGGCGAAGTGGGGTCCAAATGCAGAGGGGTGGGGCAGGGAGGGTCCCCCCGCCCCCCCAGAAAATGCTCGAAGATTAAAAGGTTCGGCCAGACCGTTCGGAGCGGAAAGCGAAAAGTAAGAGAAAAGTTGTGAACCAACCGACTATTGTTTATGGATAGAAGAGAATTACTGGAGGTGGTCTTTGACTGAAAGCCACAACGGAGCTCAGAATTTAGGTTGCTAAGTGAGAAATTATGTCCCAGGGTTTTTTTTTGGGGGGGGGACGACATTTCTCGGCATGTTGGTTAAGAGAATCAGTGAGGTTGTTAAATTAGCAACATGGTTGTTAAGTGAACCGGGCTTCCCCGACGACCTTGGAGGCTTTTAAAGAAGAGACTTGGACAGCCCCTTCCTTCCGCCTGAAATGGTCTCGGGCCATGATCCGTCGGGATGCTGCCAACGGTCATTAAGTGTGAAAAAAAGGGCCATACGTCGCTTTTTCCGGCACCTTGATTGATGACTCTTGGCTATGGATGTGTCCCACTGGAGAATATACATCCAGGGGGTGGGGGAAATACCAGGGTCAAGGGGGAAATGAATGATGTATCTTAGTGTCGGCTGCACCCAGGTAACGCCGACATGGTCACTCCTAATAAATCAATTTTTTTTTTTTACTTTGAGAGATGCGGCTAGAGACTTAGGATTTGAACGGGGGTGGATCTGTTGGAGCCCTGACACCCAAATGTAAACGGCTTGACCAGGGGATGCTTCCATGGTTGTTGTTAAGGGTGGTAAAAACGGCCGCGAGTCACTTCCTTTGGTGCCGCCGTAACTTCCAACGCTCACTAAACAAACCGTGGTTAAGCCCCGGACTGCCTGTTACTCTCTATCGTTCGATCAACTAATAACAATTGTGGAAGGAATCCATCGGTTGAATGGATGGAAAGAAATCTGGAGCAAAAAAAGGCGGAAAGAAAGGACGCCCCGAATTGCCGGACTCCCCACCCAACTGGGCCAGGGGAGGAAGCCCTACCGTGAAGTTAGGACTCCCGGGCTGAATTCTCAGCTCAGCCAGGACGCAAATGCCGTTCGTGAGCTTGAGGGACTGGTATAACATGTCCTGTCCTTCCACATTCCTCTTGGCGATGGTGAAGATATTGTTACCTTGCAGCTTGCTGCTCGCGGCATCTGTCCAAACCCAAAAAGAAGCAATTTAAAAAAATATATATATTTTATATTTTAATTACGCATACCGTGTTACTCCTAAAATAAGACCCGGTTTTATTTTTTTTTGGGGGGGGGAGCTCCAAAATAGGCACCAGGGCTTATTTTCAGCTTTTTTTTTTTTCATGTACAGGCGGCAGCGAGTGTGGGGACCAACGGGAGTGAGAGAACTATCGCTGGGCCGGCTCTCTCCATGCACTTGCCACTCCTTGTGCCGGCCGTGCCTCCCACCCTCCCGGGCCAATAATGATCTTCACGAGAGCTTATTTTGGGGGTAGGGCTTATATTAGGCACATGCTTACAAAAATCAGGCTAGGACTTATTTTCGGATAGGTCTTATTTTCAGGGAAACGCAGTAGATACTTCGAAAACAGTGTATTGTCTGGGTTTATTTTATTTTACAGAGAAATAACAAATCATCACCATCTCCTTTTAATGACCCCATAATCCCTTGCAGGGTGAAGTCTGGGCAACTGAATGGAGCCGAATGTTGAATGGCCAGATGCCCTTCCTGTCGCCAATGTGGAGTTATATGCAGCCGACATATTCTCATTGTGCCCAGAGAGAGAAATATCTGCCTCTAACGAGGATCGAACTTACAGCCTCCTGATTGTGAGGCGAGAGCTCCACCTCCTGGCTACTGCGCTACTCACAGAGAAATAACAAATGTTCTGATAATAGTAGTAATAATAAAAATTGTAATTATAATTATGATAATTATGTTATCTTATTTATTGTCATAGTCATAATAACTCATCTTTAACATGGTGATAATCTTTCTTCTTCTAATTTCCACCTAAAACATAACCCACGTTGAGTAATATTCTGTATCTGCTTTATATTTTATTTTTAATGTCGCTCTATCCATCTCTGCACAGTCTAATATTTTCCGAATTATATTTTCATCCAGAGGGTGGGCGGTGCCCTCATTTTCCCAGTACTGTGCAAATACAATTCTCGTTGCTGTTAACACATGAAATATTAAATATGTAGTGCCTTGGTTGTAACTTTGTAGTATTATACCTAACAAAAACTATTTCTGGCTTTACGTTGCTTAATTATCTTTTTCTAACCACATATGCCTTTTTATCCAGATTATTATTAATTTTTTTTGGCCTTCGCACATGTCCACCACATATGACAATAAGTACCTGGAGTCTGATTACATTTCCAACGTTTGGCAGACATATTTTTAGGACAAAGTTTGAACGTTTTTGAAAGAGTGACTCCTGGCCTGGGGCTCGACAAAAGGGGCTTTGGATGTGCTTTTAAGAAAGCGGCTGCAGCATCCAAAAAAGGATCGCTGGATCAGAACGGCTCCCTCCCTGCTGGCATCTCGGAAAAATGTTTCCAGGTTCCAGTCTGATTTATTTCTTAAATTCAAAACCATTTGCGGGTCCGGCTGGAACAGCCCATTCTGTGCGATGGGCCCATCCCATATTCAAGACAGATGTTTCTAACAGCGGGAAAGGTTCAGCGTAGCCTTATTCTTGTCTCACCTGCGCTAAGCGGACAGTCTTTAATCTGGAACTGGGCTTCGTTCTCGTTGGGAATGTCCTTCCACGTGGCCAGGAATATCTGCCGTTCTAGTCAGAAAAAAAAAGGAAGCCAAAAACAAGAATTTAGAAGTGGCAAGTCGGGCTCGACTGCTCTCACTTGTATCGGTGCCCCCCTCCCAAAACAAAGCCAAACAAAAAACATAAAAACCCATTAAAGATATACAGGTAGTTCTTGATTTACGATCATTCGCTTAGCGAAGGTTCAAAGTGGCAAGGGCACTGGAATAAAGTGACTTATGACCGGTCCTCGCAGTTTACGACCAGTTTACGGTGTCCCTGTAGGAGATGACCAGGCTAAGCCCAAGGGAGGGAGGCGTCAAGCACGTCAGCAGCCATGAGTCCTTGTGAGCCCACAAGAGATCTAAGTTTCTTGCCTTCTCTCGACTCTTGCCTTCCGCTAATTTCCCTTGGCTGTTAGTAGTTCAGATTCTTGTGCAGATCTTAAGCTGACAATAAACCTTTATTCCTGTTTGATCCGCCGGGATCTCCTGGTGCTTGAGGGTCAACTTACAACCATTCATTTAGTGACTATTCAAAGTCACAACTTAGGACTGTTTTTCACACTTGTGACCATTGTAGCATTGTTGTGGTCATGTGATCTAAATTCGGATGCTTGGCAAACTGGCTTATATTTATGATGGTTTGCAGGCTCACCTGATCCCGTTTTGTGACCTTCTGACAAACAAAGTCGAGGGGGAAAGCCGGATTCACTTAAGGACCATCTGGCTCACTTAACAACTGCAGAGATTCACTTAACGAATGTGTCAAGGAAGGACGTAAAACAGGGCAAAATTCACTTATCCAATTTCTCACTTCGTGACATCAATTCTGGGCTCAATTGTGGTCATAAGTCAAGGACTACCTGTAATTTGGAGAATTTTCCACCCATCGAGCCTTCCGCTTACCCATTTTCCCGTCTTCCACGAAGAGAATGTACAGAGGATACAGGGTGCTGAAGTAGAAGACATCAATATTATTTTTCACAGCCACCTGAAAACAAAAAGACAGAAAACATTTCAAGCCCATTGAGAAATGGTCCAAAGTCACCCAGCTGGCTTTCATGCCTGAGGTGGAACTAGAACTC